CAAAATTAAACGCCTGTATGATAATATACTGTAATTTTTGACTTAACAGAGCAAAAAATAAAATCAGCGTCAACTTGTACAACTTGTTTTTATATTTATTTTTTTAATTTACTCGATACTTTCAGTGCTAATATACAAAATTACTTCAAACTACGCGCTTACAAGAAACAATTGTTATTGTTCCGACTTTCGATACGAAAGTAACGGAATATTTGTGCTCGGGCTGGGTTTTTTTTTTCTTCAGACAAATTTCGACTTTTTAACTACATTTTTGACATTTTCGACATTTTTGACGGAATTTTTTTTATATCATTCGAAACTTATTGTTGTCCTGAGCTCAAATTTGAAAAGATATTTCACCTGTGATGACTTTTCGTAAAGTTATGGGGGGTTTGAAGATTGCCAGTTTGGCCAATTTGGGACAATTAACGCGCGATATATTTCGCACTTTTAATGCGTAAGCGGAGATTTAATCCGTTCTAGAAATCGTTCCAAATTGGTTGAAATAAGCTTATTTGCCATAATTGATTGTTACTAGCAGCGAAATCTATTCGTTCGTGCTTTATATGGCGTGTGGGGTGACGATTTTCATAAAAAGTTCAAATTTCAGAAAAAAACTTCATTTTGTTTTATCACATGCAATTTTTTCATGTGATTACTGCTCCATAAACCTTAAAGGCAGTCGGAATATTCAGGGCTTCGCTCTGATACGAGCAGTCTTGTTTTCTTTATCATTCAATTTATCCCTACACGCTAATGTAAGCTAAAGTTAACTTATGCGTATCGTATTCAATTAATAAAACAAACTGACTAGCCTCAATTCGATTTGGAACCAATCAATCCGACACTTACTAGAGTTATAAGAACGCAATAAATCGCGCAGTAATCATCGCAAACTGGCCAAATTATCAGTTCTCAAACTCCCATAATTTACGAAAAATAACCACAAATAAAATTTTTAACTTGAGCCAATTTTCATTTGTCCCGACTTTCGTAGAAAACGGAATATTTATGCTTGGCGTTATATTCAGTGAAATTATGATGATCGAAAAAAAAGTTTTTTCACAAATTTTTTTTTCTACCCCATTGAAAATATTGACTCCCTGAAATCAAATAAAAAATATTTTACCTCCAATCATTTGTTGCAAATTTCTGGGAGCTGAAAATTTGCCAATTTTACCACTAATTTATGAGCTTTTTGATGATTTTATTCATAAGGCTGAAAGCGTAACGCGAGTTATTTATGCGCGGTGAATTATCCCGCACAAGAGAATTGTTCCAAATTGAATTGAGGCTAGCTTATTGGTCGGATCTTTGATTTTGTCCAAAATATGTAGCTTTTCAAAATTTTCCCAAAAATATTCGAAATGGATTAAGGGGCAGTCGGAATATTCGATATACGAGCAGTTTGTTTTTCATTTTTACTTTTCAATTACTGATCGAGTTTTTTGCTTCGATCATTGCCATTTCATGATCCAATCACTGAACCGGGGAAAAGTTTGTATTCGGGGTGTTTATTTTTTTGTTTTTTTTTCACGCAAAATCAGGTACCATCTATAAACATAGGATGGAGCTGAGTATTCTATGCTTTTCAAACCCTTGCAGTTGTAATTCGAACCCTACTAATTAATCTAATTTTCCAAAAAATTCTCTCAGTGTTGAGAAAGTTCAGTTTGAAATTTTTGATTTTTAGTCCTGTTTCGAGCGATTAAAGCGAGAGAACAGGCTTGTAATAGTCTAGAAAAAGCATCTATTGATAAATAAACCTAGTTTTTTTTCCAATAAAAACAGATTTCCAAATTTTGTTTTGTTTTTCTAATCAATTAATAAAAACAATTGTTGTCAAATAAACCGTCGTTAATTTTTCTATCGAAGTTTTTTTTACAGACCCTGTTATCACCATTAGAACAAAAAACGACGCAAAATGAAAAAAAAAATGTTTCCTTTATGTTTTTTTTTAAAATTTCTGTGCTGCTTTTATTTATGGTGATAAAATGTATATCAAGAAAACTGAAGACTTGAAAATCAAAAAGACTATAAATTCCAATTTAGGTTGCAATTCAAAACACAAAGATAAAATTGAAACAACAACGCTTGGAGTATTTTAAAATTAAATATCTTTTGAACCTGAAAATACGTCACTTTTTGAACATCAATTGTATACTAATTGTCGCAAACAACGATGGTATAAAAACAGAGAGTTTTATTTTCTAACCCAGCAGCAGTCTATTGTTTTTGAAAACATTGCAATCCACATTCGAACTACAATTAACAATATCTAAATAAATTCTGCATGACTCAACAAAAAGCTTCCTAAATTAATTTAAACGTGAAATGTGGCGTGCAAAATTTGGTCGGAAATTCTCAATCAATCAGAACGAAACCTAATGTTATACTAAAATGTATAACAAATGATGACATCTGCTGTTTTCGTTTCAATCAAAAACTGAACATTTCCTTGGAAAAAATGGTTTTTTTGATAACAAAAAATTTCACGTATGGATCCGGGTTGACCAAAAATCGCAATCCTAGATTTTTTATAAGAGTCTTTCAACTTCCAACGAAAATAAGCTGTAAAAATTTTCAAGACAGGAACTTTTTCTTATAAAAAAGTTGTATTATAGTGGCTTTTTTACAAGAGAATCGTAAAAGAATTTTCTTATAAATGTTTTTCAATTTTTTTTGTTTATATATACCCGAGTTGAAGTCCCACCGTTAATTATTGCTTTTTCTGTAGTATCTCAGTGATCGCTATTTTCCAGCACTGATTCATGAATATATATTTTTTGCATAGCTACACCTATTTCAGAGCTATTTCAGTAATGATTCCGTAGAAAATCAGTGCTAAAAATTTCAACTCATTCTAGCAGCATTCAAAAGAGAGTGTGAGTTGATAAGCCCTTTAACTTGAGTATATTGAGTTGGTGGCGCTAAGCTAGAATACATGGCTACAAAATTGAGGGTTGAGGGGTCGAACCCCTGTAGTTCTCTATTTTTGCTCAGTTTGATTTTTTTAACTTATCGATGAATTTGCTATTTTGGCAATGAACAGCGGTAATTCATTGATGGCGACCGCTGTTTTTTTTTCACTTTTTCATCGCTCATTTTCAATCTGAGCTCTACCCGGGTATAAGAAGTTTTTTATTACCAAATTTCTTATTCTACTCTCAAAGACAAAATTTTGTCGACAAAAAGACGCGTTTTGGCACATGAATTTACAAAAAGAACTCCCTAACTTTTGCGTAATAGGTTTTTGCTCATTTCTGAAAAATTTGTCGATATATACCTGAACGCCACATAAACACGTCCTCAGGTATATGGCATGATTCGTCAAAGTTGAATTTTTATGGCCTCTAAAAAACTTTCGAACCGCTACCCGCTTTTCAGAAAAGTGAAAAAAGTATATTGTTATGGAATTCTGTGGTACAAAATGTTATCAATATAATCGGTTCCAATGTTACGCTTTGACAACAAAAATGGATTCAAAATGGAGTTAAATCCATTCTCTCCCGCAAAATTATATTACAATATATATAACCTCACATAAGCCAACCCCCTCGCAACTTGAGCCATCGCCCCAACTGAACACCCCCCCCCCCCCGCCAGCCAGAGCCATTCCCCACCTGAACCAACTGCCCCCTCCTCATCTATACCACCCCATCTCCACATGAACCCCCTGCCAGACTTAACCCCCACCCCACCTAAAATAACCCCCCCCCCCCACCTGAACTACTAAACTAGCCCCCTCCCCACATGAATTACCACCCGCCCCCAACCTGAACCACCCTCCCCCCGTCCGAACCAACTCCCCACCTGACCCAACCCCCCCACCTAAACGACAGGTTCGGGTGGGAGCTGGTTCAGGTGGTCAGGTGTGTGCGCCGAGGGGGGGGTCTGGGGTTGGTCTATTACAAAAACAGTAATGAAAATCGAAGTTACGCAGGAAGATCTTGAAAAGAACAACACTAAACCCACTGTAATTTAAAACGTAGAAAACGCTTGAGGAGCGTTGGATTGCAATAGAGTGGAAAAATCTATTGTAAAAGAGTTTCTTTGTCTTTATCTATAAAAGTGAACAAAATAATCGATATTAATTGACTTGCATTGAAATGTAAAGCATTTTCAAGTTATAGCAAAATAATTCGTTTCTAATTGATTATATTCATTTTTATTTTCACTTTTATGGACATTGATAATGAAACTCAAGTTTAATTGATTTTCATCCATGGAATTTCAGTGCGAGTAATAACGTATAACTAGGGGTTATATTGAAAAAAAAATTTTTTTTTGTGTTGGACTGTTTTTTTTGAAATGCACACATTATAACTACACTATCTAAAAAATTTTACAGGCAAAAAATTGAAAAAAAAGTTTCAAAAATGACTTTTTGTTTTGGTGTCATTAGTATCAAATTCAGTATCAAAAAATAAGTATCAAGCCCTAAATACTCAGACATTTCGACGTAGTTTAATTCAATTTTCGCAAAACAAAATGGTTAAAAAAACTGAGAAATGAAAAAAATAAGCATCTGCTCATTTTGAAAAAATTTTAGCCATATTCACATATTATAATGTTCACCGCGCCTCGGATTTCAAAATTTTGTATTAGTAACAAACCCTTAATTTAGGTAAATAGTAAAAAAAATAGATTTCAAGCCATCTTTTTCAGGACTTTTTGAAAAATTAAGTGCATTTTGAGATTTGGAAATGACAATTTAGTAATTCTCTACGAAGTTTTTCCACGAAGGATCAGTTTGAGAAGAAGAAAGATGAACAAAAATTCTCCAAATGATAAAAAAACGACGAAGTTTTTTTTGTTGGAATTTGAAGGTGTCTCCGAAAAATCTTAACTTAGTTGGGTTTTTACTAATGAGTTTAAAAATAAAATTATTTTTAAAAAAGTATATTTTGAAGATGTTTTTCGATCTTCAAATAATTAAATAAGAGACGCCAGTATGATGTAATTCTTGACGACGTGACAAAAAAGTTGTTTCAAAAACTATTTAATAAGATTCACTTAATCCTGGGGATGGTCAGAACAAATTTCAGTCATTGAATATCTCACTGAGAGCGGTATAATTTTTTTGATTTATTTACCATGTGTTAAAAGCCTCGGTCAAAAATTCCAAGTTCGAATAATTTATTTGTAATTGCTCACTTAACATTTTGTAGGCTAATAAATGCGGACACATTTATAACTCAAGATGTTTGCTTTCCAAGTGCACATTAAAAAGGCCAAGAACTGATAGAACGATAATTAAACTTTATTTACTAGAATTATCATAACTGTAGCCAAAAAATTAAAAAAAATTTTGGGTCTTATGCGTTAAACGGCCCAGAAATCAAAATTGAAGCAAAATGAAAACTAAAACTGAAACTGATCCTGATTGGCTAATATTAGCCAATCAAATTCGACTAACTAGGTCAGCCATTTCAATTGATACTGAGAATTTCAAACAGACAGATAACAAAATTAGCCGAAATGACCAAAAATATAGAACTTTTGGCAAATAATCAAAATAATTTCAAGTCACTTGTACAACTTTGCCCAGACATGAAAAACTCTGTTAATAACAGATAAATTATGAAGTTTTCCTTTAGTTTTCGATATTGCGATTTCTTGATGCACAAGATCAATCCCATGCCAACAAGACTGAGAAAATTGCAGTACCAGAAATTCTGAAGCTAAATTTAGAAAATTTTCTTTATTAACTAGCGTTATTAATTAATTTGTTATTTACCTCTCTGTGTAAAATGCGGTGAAATTATTTCAAAATTTTCCCTCCTGTTTCGGAATTGTTGAACACCCCCAATCAGATAGACCGAAATACTGTGACCCTTCGTATCGGCTCGACAGAATTTTTAAGAGAGTATTTGATCATTTTGAGAAAAGTATCACCAATGGGCTATCTTAATTCACGTTGTCGAGAAAATCTGACACTTACATATTCTAGACTGACTTAATTTCAGTGCCAAGAGGGCAAAGATTTTTTTACATAATTTCAAAAAAACGAGTATTTGGTGAGTGTTTATACGTTTCTATGGTTGCTCGAACTGATAAAATCACCATAGGCTACATTAATTTTTAAATTCAAAATTCTGGCAGGAAAAAAATTTATTGAATGAAACGAACGAATTTTTTATCGATTAGCGGTTACTTCGACTCAAATATATAATTTTTTTTTCGTTGCGAGGGTTAATGAAGTTTCAATTGTTGTCGCATTTGAAACATTCGTGTCATCGAAAGATTCTGAGAGTTGATCGCGTCACTCCTTTTTATAGAGAAATTTCGCGTTTGAAGTAAAAAATGCAATTTGACCGCTCAATTCTTAAACCATTGATTAGCTTTTAAGTGTTTCATGATTGATATGGGAAACCAAAAAGTGATCTGATTATGATTTTTTACACTTAGTTTTGTTCTGATTTGCCTTAACCACTTTCCCCATCTTTGTATTTTTTCGACAAACTTTTTTGAATAAAAAAAGCATTGCAAAATGTCAACATTTATTTAGTTTTTCTTTTTTTTGTGTTCGCACTTCTTTTACTCACTATTTGAACAGAAAACGAAAAATACTAATCCAAATGCGAGCTAATCCAGCTAATCCAAATGCGGCAACCAAACTGAATTTCTGAAAGCGAAATAGAGGGAAAATATTTCACAAGATAGCAACAAATCATTAATAAGATTCATTTTTTATAGGATATATATATATATATATATATATATATATATATATATATATATATATATATATATATATAAACTGAAAGCTCTGTTTTTTGATAGTCCATTTTTTGCTTGAGATTTTAAATGGGACAGAGCTTTTTATGAGCGGAAAGAGTCTTTAACGGAAAATTGAAGTCTTCATAGTGTTCTTATCGCACTCAAGTTTGGTTGACGCAATTAAAAGTTATCTGCAAAAGCTTTCGATTTTTTTTGAAATCTACTCTACAAATGGCCAAACAGTTAAGGCGCTTCAATCTAGCCACACTTATGTTATTTTATGAAAGCAAAGTTTTTGAAAGCAAACTTATCAAAAGAAAAAACTTGAAGATTTTTTCATTTGTTGTCCGCTAAATAAAATTAAAAAACTGACTGCTTTTATCAGGGCAAAGCCCTCAATGTTCTGATTGCCCAATAGTTGATCTCGAATAGTTTTTGATAAATGAAATATTCACAAACTACGAATTTTAGGTTGATAAAACCAATTTGTAAAGTTTTGTGTCCTTTATGCAATTAATAAG